CCTCAAACATTACCGTAAGTACCACCATTGTGATTTTAGAAGCAGAAAGCCCCCTTAAACACTTTTTCCCTACTCGAGCAATAGTAGTTTGAATAGTGGTTTGCTCAACACTCCGCTGCTAGCAATTTCCAGTGCACTACACACAGGCGAGGGGAAGTTGTGGGAAGCCCCAAAACTATGTAACAGGGACCAGACCCGACAAGGGTTGCGGGAAAGCCTCCCTTAAAGGGAAGTGAGAATTCACGGATGAGTAAAGACAGTTAAAGAGAAGGAAAAGGAGGAAAAGGCTGTGCCAAGCCAAAGATGGCAAAGGTAACTAATTATACAAAAGTCAAAGGGGTAAGAACGCAAGCACACACACATATTTCAACGAACTTCGTGTGAGAGAACACTGACATGGAGAGGCAGGACATTATGGTCTTATGAGTCATAGGAGAAAGGTAAATTTTACATTAACGAGCAATGAGAAATCCAAGTTTTTTTCAGTAGGTAAGTTAGATAATCACACTTCACTTTACTTACATTTCCTCACTCTATTCATTCAAGCTGCTTAAAGAATAAAGGATGGGGCTGGGGGGTGGGAGGGGGAACAGGAGTGGGTAGGGTACAGCAGGTAGGCTGCTTGCCTTGCATGCAGCCAACCCTGGTTCAATCCCCAGCACCCCATACAGTCCCAAGTCCGCCAGGAGTTATCACTGAGCACAGAGTAAGAAATAAGCCCTGAGAATTACCAGGTGTGGCCCACAAACAAAAAGACTGGATTAGACTTCCCTCACCCCAATGGCTAGTTGTGGTCCAAAAACAATAGAAAATAGATTGATGCTCTTAATAATCAATAATTTAATTTTCCCTTATTTGTAGCATGTGTCCCTGCTGACCATCAACAGCCCTCCCTAATTTTCTCCCTTTTTGCAGGCTCCATTTCCCAATCTACACCCTTTGATCTTAACTGTGAAGAGTTGATCCTTGGCCTTTCGCACTTCTGAATCCTTCATATTTTCCTCTGAGTGATGTCATCAGAGGAAACACCTCAAACACCACCTGTGATTTACAAAGCTATATTGACAGACCATACCTCTCCTGAACTCAATTTAGTATTAAAGATTTCAAATCCATTATCTTCCAGGCACCTCAAGTTGTATTACTGAACAATTTCAAAACCAAACACAGGAGAGACAGTATAAAAGATTAAGGAGTCTGCTTAGCATGTGGCACTGGCCACCTCCTGCAATGACTCTGGTTCAAATCCCAGAGGTGTGGCTGGCAGATGTGGTGCCTAAGCACTGAGCCAGGAGGTAAGGTTCTGGAGCACAGTTACAGGTGTGGCAAAAACAATGAACCAACCAATCCATTAACATTTGAACTCTGTCTCTCCTTCCTTCCCATGACCGTATTAGCTCAGCTAATCATTTCTCTTCAGATTTCCTTCAGTGAATTTTTTTTGGGTTTTTTTTTTTTTTGGTGCTGCCTGCCCCATATACCACCCTCTGGTTGTTAAAAAGTAAAAAGTATATCCTTGGTGAGTTCTTACATAGGTCAGAATTTACTCTACACCTCTTCTCTTGAGCACTCTGGACTCCACTGCTGGAGTTCCCTTGGCATTCTATGCTTTGTGTCTTTGCATGAACTTTTTCCTTCTCTGGAATACATATTCTTTCCCCCTCCCTCATCCTCTTTACCTGGGCAGCTCATCCTGCAGGGTCTAGGGAAGGCCCTCCCTCCTCCGGAAAGCTTCAACAAAATTTCCAGAAGCACCTCTTCAAGAGATACACAAAATGTGTAGGTTCTCCCACAGTTTCCTGTGCTGAACACTAATCTTGAATTTATTACGATTATGCTGATTCCTCCCCACCAGGCTGGATCCTTGTTCAACAGAGGCACCTATCAAGCTGTCTTGTGAGCAAACCTAGAATTGCAATAAGACCCTTGAGAGAACAAGTTCTAAAATATAAATTCCTCAAGAGCCTGAGCCTGAACCTGGTGCTCACTTCAGCAATATATTTCCTAAAACCAGAACAGTAGGGCATCTGTGCAAGGATGACACATAAACTCATGGAGCACTCCACATTTGGGGGGCATTAGGTGGTGTGTAATCACAGAGTATGTCTAAATGTCAGTACCATTGCAAACCAGGCTGTGGCAAAAATAAATAAAAAAGTAAATTTAAACAGGGCACGAGGGCTGGATCGAGTACAGAAGGCAAGGCTCTTGCCTTGCAATCAGCCAACCCCAGTTCGATCCCTGGCATCACATAAGGTCATTCAAGGACAATCAAAACTGATCCCCGGGAACTAGCAGGTAGGGCACTTGCTTTGCACATGACACACCCAGGTACAATCCCCAGCACCCCATACGATCCTCAAAGCCTGCCAAGAGTGATTCCTGAGTGCAAAGAGTAAGCCCTGAGCACAATGTGGCCCAAACAAACAAGAGTGGCCCCTGAGCACTGTCAATTGTGCCCTCAAAATTTAAAAAAAAATTAAGGGGCTGGAACAATAGCACAGCGAGTAGGGCGTTTGTCTTGCACACGGCCGACCTAGGTTCGATTCTCAGCATCCCATATGGTCCCCGAGCACCGCCAGGAGTGATTCCTGAGTGTATGAACCAGGAGTAACTCCTGTGCATTGCTGGGTGTGACCCAAAAAAGCCAAAAAATATATAATAATAATAACAATGATAATAATTAAGAGCATGAACTTTGTGGCATTCTTTGTTCAATCTCCAGCACCAAGACAGCAGAGGCTCATATCCCATTGGTGCTCTGCCTGTATTTGTAAAATGGCCGAGCAGATATTCTAGAGTCAGATAAAAACATTCTAAAGTCTGATTTTCCATTATGAACTTTCCAGGTTTGTGACCTACTTTTACTACAGCGCGATTGTGGGGTGCATGGTTTCCACTAACCAAAACTCTTCTGTTCACATTCTACCAAACCATTAGATTTCTACTAAACCAGTTATACTCTTGTTCTTCCACTATGTAAAATATACGCAGACACCCCAAGATACAATTACCACTTCACTAAACATGAAATTTTCAGTACTAGTGCACTTTTCTGGGGAGTGGAATTACAGTTTTCGTGGCTATTTTCAAGGGTGCTAATGACACAACGAAAAGAAAACTGCTTAGCCAAAATATCAAGCAGAGTTAAGCTGTCACTTTCCTTTTTCTCTTCCAAAATGCTACATTGACATTATCACTAGCCACTTGGAAACAGGAGTCTCAGCTAAAAGAAATGAAATTGGAGAAGACAGTTGGCAGGTTCTCACTGGGATTCGGACTGGGACTGGAATTCGGACGGGCACTGGAATTTACATCCATCCCCCTCCCCCAAAAGTCCTTACCAACGTTATCTAAAGTTATTAACCTAATTCTAAATACACCAATGAGAATCAGAGTATCTGAAGGGCTGTTAATGCCTTCAAGAAAATGTTACATTCTGAGCCTCAGGGCAAGAGGAAACATTACTGTCATCGAATTAACTGGAAGGAGAAAGTCCAGGATCATCCAGATTTACAGGAAATCCCCAGCCCCCTTTTATTCCTCCGCTATGCAGGGGCAGCAGTTAACTCTCCAAGCACTCAATTAGATCTGGAGATTGAATATGCAGGCAGGCGAGGACAGGCGATTTAATATCGTTTATTGGAAAGTTCTGGGGCCAGAGGCAGAAACAGCCTCAGGATGCTTGCCCTGCACAGTGCAGCCCTGCACCGGACTCGATGTCCAGCCGTTCCTCCCCACCCCATAGGGTGCCCCCAAACACGGCCAGGGGAGATGCCTGAGAGCAGAGCCAGGAGTAAGCCCTGAGCACTGCCAGGGCACGGCGAGGACTGACAAGAGTTCTGCCCGAACGGAAAGGTTCTCGAGCTATTTTAACGAAGCTAGCGGAGTTCCGCCGCGATTCCACTTAGGATTTTTCGACGATTAAAAACCAAAAAAAAAAAAAAATCCTAATAAGCAAAAGTGGTTGCCTAGGGCGCGGGGGAGAGAGCAGGCTGGCATCCTCCGGGTGACTGGAAGGGTTCTTTTTCATCTTTTTTTTTTTTTTGGTTTGGGGGCCACATCCGGCCATGCTCGGGCTCGAGCAGCGCCGGTGGTGCTCGGGGGGCACCCACGGCGGTGCCGAGGCTCGAACCCGGGCCAGGCGCGCGCCAAGCACAGCGCCCTCCGTAGGCCTCCGGCTCCGGCCCTGAGGAAGGCGCCTCATTCCCAACCGCGAGGCTCGGCACGGGCGCGGAACGGGTCGGCGACTGGCCGGAGCCTGTCACACCTGGCCTCTTCCTGGGCGATCTTCCTGGGCGTCCAGTAACGCCTCAAGGACGGAAAACCGGGAGCGCGAGGGGCGCCCTCGGGACTTCTGTCCCCACCACCGCGAACCCGAGCGTCGCCGGGCTTCCCGGAAGCGGCTCTGGGTGGAGGACGCGCGGCCGCCCGCCCGCTGAGGAAACTCCGACCGCGGGCGCGTCGGGTCCCTGTCGCAGCCGCCACGGGGCTCGACCCGGCCACGGCCCGAAGGAGGCCGGGCCGGGGCCGCCCACCGCCACGGGAACGCGACGACCCCGCCGCCCGGCAAGCAGCGAAAAGGCGGACGCGCGAGCCCCCGGGAAGGACACCCGGTCCCCCGCGGCCACCCCGCTCCCGCTCCCGCCCCCGGCGCCTCTCAGGTCTCTCCCCCCCACCCCCCCCCAATCCCCCCAGGTGGCGGGGAGCGAGGGGCAGCACCGCGTCCCGGGCCCGCCACAGGGCGCCGCTGTGGCGCCGCTTCCCACAGGCCGGCGCGCGCGTGCGCGGCGACGGGCGCCCCGGGGCGAGAAGCTTGTGCTCTCGCTCCGCTCTCCCACCCCCACAGGGGGCCGAGGCGCCCACGGCGCAGGCGCGGCCCTGACGCGGCCCTCGCGCAGCCACTTCCGCCCGGAGCGGGAGGCGGGGGAGGCGGGCGGGAGCCCCGGGGTTCTCGGAGGAGGATGGCGAGCACCGGCGCGCGAGCCCACACGACTCACCAAGTACAGCTGCTGCCAGCGGTTCTGGGTATCCAGCTCCTCGAACTCCCGCTCCACGGTGGCGGACATGGCGGCGGGAGCGAGCGGGAGCGCGAGCGGAGCCGGCGCCAGCCGAGAGGCTCAGGCCCCGCACCACCGGGGAGTGCGCCGGAGCCGCGACGCATGCGCGCTCCGCGCCGCGCCCCGCCCCCCGCGCCGGTCTGGCCGGCCGCGGGGAAAGTACCTGGAGCGTCGGACGTCAGCGCGCAGAGGCACGCGCCGCGCGGAGCTGGGCGGCTGCGAGGCGGGGCGGCGGGGGAGGCGGGCTCTGCCGGCTGCTCAGGTGGGGCGGGGGCGGGGCCCGGCGACCACCCGCGACCGGCCGCCCCGCCCGCTGGCCGAGAGGGGGCGCGGCCCCGGCCCCCCCCCTCCGGCGCTGAGTGGCCGGAAGGAGGCGGTGGCAAGTCTCCAGGTCCAGGGGAGAGTTGCCTGAAAAGTCACGGGGACTTTCTCTTTCTTTCTTTCTTTCTTTCTTTCTTTCTTTCTTTCTTTCTTTCTTTCTTTCTTTCTTTTTTCCTTTCCTTTCCTTTCCTTTCCTTCTGTTTAGTCAGGTATTTAAAATTTTATTTTTTAAGGGCCAGAGGGTCTCAGAGCGTGCGTTCTTCTAGTCTTGACACCACTTGATTCCCTTCCCCCCCTCCCCCCCAGCACCGCTGAGAGCAGCCAACCCCTTTGGACACTGTGTGGTCCAAAGCCTACCTGCACCTCTCAAATTAGGCTATTTTAAGCATCATTTTGTGTCTAATTTAGGAACAAATTTCTAGATTTCTCAGCACTTTCAGAAACTGTAACCCACTGATAATCAGCGACCACCAGGGCCAGTTGGACAAGTATCACTGGGAGTGGCCCCCAGACCTCCTGCATGTCTCCAAACTGTGACTATAGTTTCAACACAGCCAGATATGGAATTATTATTATTATTATTATTTTGGTGAGAGCAGTTACAAAGCTTTTGGGTTTAAGTCTTAGTCATATAATGAAACACCCGTACCTTCACCAGTGCCCATTCTCCACCACCAAAAACCCCAGTATACCCACATCCCACACCCTCCTGTGGTGCAGATGATTTCCAAATTACTCTCTCCTCTCAGAGAGCCTGGCAAGGTACCGAGAGTATCTCGCCTGCACGGCAAAGCCTGGCAAGCTCCCCGTGATGTATTCGATATGCCAAACACAGTAACAAGTCTCACAATGTTACTGGGCCCGCTCGAGCAAATTGATGAACAACGGGAGGACCGTGACTGTGATACTTTGATTACATTCAACATTTTGACACCACACCCACCATTATTATTTGGGATTTTACCCCAACACTCAGCTCTGCCAAAAAGGCAACAGTAGACAATTTATTTTCTATTACTGGTCATGAATAACATATGATGTCACATGGTTGCAGTAGTGGCCCGTGCTCTGCTGGGTTCTGAGATTTGTTCCTGAGTCTCTGGGATCATGGCCGTTAAGCAACTTGATCAGGAGCCAGAGAGGCTGTTTGTGGGCAACAACTCAGGGTCTCATTGGGAGGGGAAGGAAAGGGCCAGCTCCACCCCCATCCAGTGAGGCCCCACGTGTCTTGTCACTGTGGTCCCAAACCTGACTGTCCAATGGCCTCTGGCAGATGACGGCCACCCAGCTACTAAGGGGGAGCAGGCAAAGGGACAGCTCCCTTTCCCTCCTGGGGTGGCCTAGCAACAGTAACCTATTGCAGGGACCGGATGCATTTCTGCCAAAATCCACTGGGTTTCGAGATTTGTTTCTGAGTCTCTGGGGTCATGGCCATTAAGCGGCTTGATCAGGAGCCAGAGAGGCCATACCTCCAGTTATATAGCTGAGCCAGAGGTGGTTTGTGGGTGTGTCTCCCACATAACTTTTGGCCGTTTATTTTCTTGGTAAATTTTGCCCCAAGTTTATGGGGTCATGCCAAAGGCACAGCAGCAATTTGGGAGTATCTGGAAGTCTGAAGGAACCATGAGGCTGCTGACGCACTCGCCTCACAGGTACAGATTGACCTACTGGCGGCACCATACCCCCCACAGTCAGATATGGAATTCTTAAGTCCATCAAAAATTGCCCCATCACTGTTAGTTAATATATATGATACACTTCTGCCATCCATTGAAGCAGCATTTCTCAATGGGGAAGGGGAGGAGGGATTTAGGCCCTCAGGATATTCCCAGAGGTGCAATCAGTAGGCCAGAGGGAGCCAGAGGAAGGAAACAGTCATCAGAAGGAGGCAACAATTGGCAGAAGGTTGGGAAGTATTGCCCCAGCAGGTAGAGCACTTGCCTTGCATGTGGCCAATCCAGGGTCCCCCACCTGCAATCCCATATAGTCCCCTGAGCACCCCCAAGGAGTAATTTCTGAATGAAGAGCCAGGAGCAATACTGAGTATCTCTGGGCATGGCCCAAAAAGCCAAACAAGCAAAAAAAAAAAAGTAATCTTGAAAAAAATATACCTAGCATAATTGCCTTGTTTCTGCTCTTTACTGTCAGTAAAAGTTATTTTGTATAGTTCCTCAGTTTCCTTTTGATCAGTTAGGTTGGTTGCTACACAATACATGAATTGCTGACTAGTCAGAAAGACCTTTAAATTTTATTGTTAATTTTTGTTTTGTTTTGTTTTTTCTTTTTGGATCACACCCGGCAATGCACAGGGGTTACTCCTGGCTCATGCACTCAGAAATTACTCCTGGCAGTGCTGAGGAGACCATATGGAATGCTGGGAACCGAACCTGGGTTGGCTGCGTGCAAGGCAAATTCTCTACCTGCTGTGCTATCACTCCAGCCCCTATTGTTAATTTTTAAAAAAGCACTTTTAATAATATTTTCTATCCACTGCTCTCCAACCTATGTCTTCAGGTATAATTCCTACTTGCCCGCTCCAAATTATTCATAATTGACCCCATAGGGAACAAAATCTGGACAACCAACATATTTTTGACTTGAAAATTATATTAGGGAGGTGTTCTGAATGCTAGGTGGAGTTTGCCCTTTTATAAGGGTGGATAAAGGAAAATCCACTTAGTGTGTACTATGTCTTAAACATTAGCAAAGATCTTAACTCTTGACAGAAAGCTGAGTATTTTATTTTATTGGTTTTGGGGTGACCCCTGGCAGTGCTTTGGAATTCTCTGAGTGCTTAGGGGTGAGCCTGATCCTAGCTGATATGTCGATGTGAGAGCTGGTACCTACTGAAGCAGGCAGCCAGGAATATAGGGAAAGTCCCCTCACCATGAAAGTAATAAAACCAAGGGAAGTAATAAAACCAAGTAGCACTAACATTGCCAAGACTCCTTGTGAACACAGAAACTATGGCCTGAAAACACCTTTAACTGGCACCAGATGCTCTAGCAGGAACAAGAGGCCAGGACAAGAATATCAAAGAAGATCTTCAGTAGCTCCCAACTCTTTCCCTTGGCAACCACCCTAACAAAGGATTCTTACCTACATAGAAAGTTCTGTGTGGGACAGCTTGGAGAAAACCCTATAAAAGCCAACTTGGAATAAGGGAAATGTTTGTGGTACATGGTACCTGAGCACATGCCACCTGCGTCTCCCCTCTTGAGATGGGTACTTTCATACTTGAATGCTGGGATGTGTACTTTGGGCTCTCTTCATTCTGGAGAAACGTGTGTCCGCTCTTGAACACATAACTTATCTCTCTCCTTTACCTCCCTTTGCTTCCAAATAAACTTGTACTTCACTGTCTCCTGATTTTTTTTAATTGAATCACTGTGGAAGTCACAGATAATCTTCTCCATTGCCCTTCTGGAAGATGTGATAGATCCATCAGGATGTCAGAGGGCAGTCATCTTGGTCTTGTAGTTGACGAAGGACAGACGGGTGTTACAAATGCTTTTCCCAGTTTCTGCCACATCTACCAGCACTTCTGCACTTCTCTCTTTGGGTCTTCCTTGATTGCATCTCTGCACTGCTTTGTGAGCTCGGACTTTCGCTCGCAGTTGCCTGAGGCATGTGCCAAACCACGTTGGCGAATAAGCTCAAGAGTTTTCGAAGACAGGTGTTTTTTTGTGCCTATCTCTCTCTTGGCGTTCCTCGCACAATCATGGAGGTGCTGAACCAGTCAATTGTATTCCTCATCAATGTTGTCAACAGTGGCATCTTCCCATGTTGCAGCAATGTTGCCAAAGAGCTCCCAGTTGGTGGTCGTTTTGGGAGTTCTCTTCTTAAACTTTGCAGCCCTTTCTCCCCGCTCTATGAAGTCGAATTTTGCATGAAGGAGACGGTGGTCCGATCCCGTTTGGAATTTTGGGACAACAGCGACATTGGTCAGGCAAAACCGTCGATTGAATATGATGTGGTCTATTTCGTTGTGGAACCGTCCACCAGGAGACTCCCATGTCCAACGTTTAGATTCGGCCTTCTGGAACTGTGAGTTACCATGGATGGTCTTGGTCGACATGATGAACTCAGTCTCTCACCCTGTTTGTTCCATTCTAGGCCATGGGTCCTGATGTGGAGTTCTTCGACTGATCTTCTCGGTCCTATCTTGGCATTAAAATCACCAACAATGATCTTGTAGAAGGTGTGGTCTTCTTTATAGAACTTCTCCAGCTCCATGTAGAACTTCTCAATTTCTCCTTCATCTCCTTCATCATATTTGGTGCGTAGACAACGAAGATAGAAACTGCCGGCAGTGAGCCACATCTATTCAAGTGTAAATGTCCGATTCAGGTTGTTAGGCATTCGAATGAATCAATGCTCATGGCCAAGTACGTGTTGACAAGGACACTGACGCCTCCGATGCCTCTTTTATCGCAAGTTCCAAGGAACAGTTCTTCTCCAGTGTTGAAAATGGCATGATGTGATTGATGCCTTCTTGTCTCAGTCAGACCAATGATGTCGTACTCAATCTTTCGCACTTGTACCATCAGGTCTTCGATGAATGCATCCGATGCTAGCGTACGTGCATTGAAAGTACAGACAATCATTTTTGTCTTCCTTTGTTTTGGCAGCCTAGTTCGGCCTTGAGATTTTATTAGCCTCTCCTTTCTCATCCTTCTTAACGCTGCCATATTGGTGACGCCTTCAGGGTCAGGGGCTTGGCTGGCTCGGCTCTTCACACGCTACCTGTCTGAATGCAAGATTCTGTCCCAATGGAAAACCAGCAGGACTGTACTACTGTACAAGAAGGGAGACATCCATGACATTGGCAACTATTGCCCAATCTGCTTATTGTCTGTCATCTACAACCTGTTCACTCGAGTCATCC